GTAGAACAAAATAGTTAAGTTATTGCACAGTCGAACAGAGAATTAACAAAGAGTAGAATATAACGAACGTGAGAACGGGATCGAGAGGATAGGCAACGAAAACAAATAGATATGGAAATTATTGCACTTCAAGACAGTTCCGCCTGCCCACGTCGGGGTCTATGAAGATTCTGACTAAGGACACGATTATAGACCTGTGCCAGAGTTCCTTTCGTGCACAGATATTTTTGCGTGATTTGCCTTTTTAGATGAACCCCTTTACATGCATCATGACAGTTTTTTGTGCAGTGGGTGTTGCTCGTTGTGATAGATGTTAGGATTCATTCAAAGACTTTCGGCTATTGCCTGTTCAGCGAGATATAGCATCAGGTTTTTGTGCCAGAGATCTCTTCTAGCAACCAATTTTAGCGATCTTCTTAAGTCGCGCGTGAGGGACCCCGGAAAGATTATCTAAGCAACATAGGTAATGAGTGGTAAAATGCAAACAGAAACAGGATCTGATCATTTCTGTAGATTCATTCAACTCTGAATAATCTTAAAAGACGAAAAAAAAGCCTTGTGGCATTTTTTGATATTTGATTAATGGGCACATGCCTTGAGAAGTCAGAACATCAAATGACCCCTAATTAATTTTTTATTCAGTTGTTGCTCAATACGTTATTGATTGCAGACGTAATTTGTCTAATGATCTGTGTAAATGATACATTATCGATTCGAACCCTTATGCTCACTATTTAAAACATTAAAGTTATGTCGCGGACACAACAGTTGTAGATGCTGTCGACTGTGAGTCTTTCCTTCTCTTGATCGAGAGACTACCGTTCCGTTCCAATGGTTTAAGCACGTTGGTACAATGTTAAATGAGAGATTCGTCGTACTTGGCAGAGCCAGAGTGAAGTTCAAATTCTTTTTTTTTCGCTAATGCCTTATTTCCTGCAAGTCTGGCTCTTTTACGTGTTTTTACCAACTTCTCAATCATGTCTCTCATAGATTGGCAGGTACGTTTTCTCTGGAGTACTGAAATACTTTCGTTAGCGGCAGTCACTTAACAATTGCTGAAATTATCAAATGTCATAGGCAAATGCATTTCCAGTGTCGGATTGAATGCCATTCAGAATTTTCTCCTCACATCTGAATTTTGCTGTAACGATGCCATATGAGACTTTGGCATCGTCTCCAAACTTTCGGCAGTAACATATGGCACCATGGTCAGACAAGCAAGCGCATTTTTAGACACTTTTACACCGTCTTACGATGTGCTTTCAACGGTAAATTACGAGCATGTAATACAGCTGTAGTTGTAACTTCTTGCACACACGCTCTTTCCCGCTGCACGTTAGTTTTTGCCAACGTCGATTTCGCTTCAAGGTCGTTACAATTGCCGGCCGGAAACTTTCGGCGAGGTTGAGGAGGATCGATCCATTTTCTGAGGTCGTTTTTACCGTCAGGAACCATTACCCAGAGCGACCCTCGTTTCATCGCTGTCAAATTATGCGTGGCATCCACTCCAAGGATTACAGGGTTGTTCGAAGGTACGGCACCAAATAATTGTTCAAGTCTATCGTAGAATGCGTTCTTTCCTTGTTTATCTGCATTGTTCATAGGTACATGAGCGATTATAATCCTTGTTGTTGTGAAAGATTTCGAGATCTTGATCCAGCATAATCTTGGGCTAATCGGCCCCCATTCTTCTGTGACTGTCGCACGGCGACTCCGCAACCACACATTTCTTCTTTAGCCTTCGATCCGAATAATACATAAGATGTCTGGCCATCGGAATAGTATATTTTTGTGATTTCATATTTCTTTAATCGCTCAAGGTTCTGGTGACGGCAGCTTGCCTGTTTTCACTTTTTAGGGACTGACAGTTCATATTGACAATATTTAGCCTCTTTAGTCGAAACAAGTTCTGCGGTGGCCCTTAAAAGGACGTTTTGATTTGGACAGATAGACGGCTCACTGTGATTGTTTGCGCGTCTGGAAATACAGTGAATAGCCATTGTCCAGCCATCTATTCTAGGGTCTTTCTGGTATCTGATCTGACTTCACTGAAGATCAGATTCAGAAGATGCTAATAAAACAAGGTCGTCTGCAAACAGCAACCTTCTCGACTTCACATCTCCTACACCG